GAGAGCGGATAGAAGAACATCCCTAACCAGAGGGCAGAAGTTAATTAAAGGGAGGGTAGCAAAGCAGAGGGGCAGGATACAGTGAAGCACCGAGCCAAGCGGGCATGGAGATGTTATCAAGGCCACCTCCTCCTTTATACCGGCCGCCGACAGCTCGGGCGCCACAGCAATGTCAAGCTTCTCAGCGCCTGGTGTCATACGTCGACAGACACAAGGTTATGTGAGGTTGGACTCAGTGCACGCTGACGTGCAGATGCTGTGAAACGGATGGTCACCCCGGGGTCGACTCGAGCGGGTTTGCTGCCAACGTCTCGAGCAACGGCGACGAATATCGGGGCAATGGCGCTAGCAGTGACGAGGGTGGTCCCCGCCCAAAAAACGAGGATGCAACTCGAAGCGGTGCTCGGACCTGAAACTAAAACCATGACAGCAAGTCGTTGAAATCACCCAGGTAGCTCCGGGTGCGACTCACAGGATTCCCGTCAAGATTCGCACGACTGTGGTCCGGTTGGCATGAGATGCCGCAAACCCCGTGGCCGGTGTTGTTCAGGCGTCAGCCACGAGCATAGCCTTGACTGCGAATTCTGGCAGCACTATGACAAGCACAAGCGTTGAGCTCTTGTACATAAATTGTGCCGTTCCCAATGGTCAAGGTTACCTGGCGTTTATTATGGACGTAACTTCTATTAGCTCGAACGGAATCATGTTCCCGAACTCGGATGGGGAATGCAATATCCTGACACCGGTGTGCATGGCAGTTTCTGACATACGAGTCGCGCATATGCGCATAGCACCTACGGAAGCAACTTGTCAGAATGATACTAATCGAAATGTGCATGCTGTCGCTCACCTTCCTTATACTAGCTCACAGGACTATCTGCAAGCAACACCCACCCCCATATCGCACTTGAAGTCACACCCCACGCTCAAGGTACGACAACTCATCATAATACATGAGTATGAAGCCGATAGCTATTCCGTACAACCGCATCCTTGTTGTTACCGATACATCCAACTATCTTCGCCCTGTCGTGTACACACCGCCCCTCACCTCAAACGAGAGGACGGGTCCTGTACAACAGGACGTACGCCGACGCGTCCTGCCCGCCGCCAGAGAGCGTCTCGAGCTTCTCCGCGGGGAAGATCGAGACCTTGTCGTCGTCGAACTTGTACCAGTCCTCGTCGTCCTCGTCCGGCTTCGCGCCGGCAGATGCGCCGGGCGCGAGGGGTGAGTTGTGCAGCGCGCGCTTCTTGACGAAGCCGATGTAGTGCCCCGCGTCCGCCTCGGCACCCTTGTGCGTCACAATCGCTGTCGTACAAGGTGACATGAGCCAAACCGGTGGAAACCTGAGGGACAAAGGCGCGCCACTCACCGACCAACTCGTATTGGCCTGTCGTGCTCGCGCCAACGTCGGCCTTGACATCGGGGTGGATGAGCGCCTCGAGCTCCTTCCCTTCGCACTCACGATATACGCTCTCGTCTTCGAGCTCGACGTTCGCGACAGCCTTGCCCTTGTCTTCGCCGTCCGCGGTCGTAGAAGGAGCAGCGTCGCCACTGGACGATGACGCCTCAGGCGCGCTCGCGTCGGCCATCTGCACATCGCCTTCCTTGTCCTTCACGGGTTGTGCAGCTTTGGTGCGCTTTCGGACCTTACGGCGCTCGCCGCGTTCCTTCTCGACCTCCTTCAGTTTACGGCTGATGGGGAGAAGCTTTTCCTTGAGCTCAGGCGTCGCAATGTCGAGTGCGTCGTATTCGGTTGGGAACTTGACTCTGCGCATGATCTTCGCTTTCTTGCCGATATCCCGTTTCCACGCGAAACGCACCATGTGGACGGTCAGGTATGAGGGAAGGCGAGACAGACGAGACGTGGAAGTGTAGACTGCTTCGCGGCCAAGGGAAGGGGACTGCTTCTCAATCTTCCCGTCAAGAGCCTGCAATACCGATTAGGACAACAAACTCCAAGCAGGGGGTGACACATACCTCCAGAATTCCTTGTTGCATGTAGTTCACAGCGTTGGAGATATTACATGATATCTTGAGCACCTTCTCGAAGGAGATGGACTCAGGCTCCTCTGGCGCCTCGTCGCACTTCAGCCTATTGCTCATTCAGCCTGGGAACGGACAGTTGCAGTGTCGGATTCGGAACTCACACTTGTCTCAGCTCGCCGGTCATGTATTGTTCAACAAACTTCGCCGATGCATTCGAACCAGACGAAGAACCGGGCAGTCCTGGCACCTCCTTGAGAGAGTTGGTCAGCTGCACCCAGCACTCCTCCGCATCTACATATGCAGCTGAGTTCGTTGCTCTCGGTAATATAGCAACAAGCTAAGCATACCTTGCTGAGCATAGCCACCGCCCAGTAGGCCCTTCATGCCCGACCCTCGTGTCTGCTCCGCAAACTGAGGGAACGCGCTGCGAAGGGCGGCGAGGAAGGAAGCCGGTGTAACGCTCTCGGTCGTTCTCGACATATTGGTATACAGATTGCGCAGCGCCATTGGCAGACCAGATGGTGTTGAGCTAAACCTTCAGCGTCAATATCGCGTACAAGATTGAGAGATGGACGGAGGGAGAACAAACTTCTGGAGGGCAACCTGGAGTTCCGGGATAGCTCTCATGGCTTGCAAGGTCGCATTCATGTAGCAGGTGTTTCCCAGGTTCACTAGGCCAACGGGCATTGACAGCTTCGCGAAGTGATCAAGACTTGTCCAATAGGGCGAGAAGGCTTGGAACGTACTGCTTCAGCCAGAGAAGTATCATCCATGTCTGATTGGTGATCGGTGAGTCCAAGACAAACGCGCCCGTGACAAGATACAACTTGCCTTCCAGGAATTTGACAGGTGTGGAGGGTGGCTTCGGAAGCTCTCCGGCGGCTCCGATGACCATGAAAGTCTGGCCCTAGCAGCATACAATGGAATCAGTACTTGGCAGTGCTTCGACATTCACTTCGCTACCCACGGCTTTTGGGCCGACCTTCCTCCAGTCCGTGTCGTCCTGCGTTGCCAGTAAGCAATGTGCAAGTTGATTGCATGCTCCGATCACACACACCTTGAGGATGCCACCCTTGACCATGACTTTCATCCGGTCTGGCGGTACGCCTGTGAGCTGATATACCGCATCTTTGAAGGCAGCCGGGGGCTGGTCAGGGTCGAGCTGCACGTCGTGCACCTTGCCTGCGTGCTTGATTTTGACGGAGATGGGAGCCATGGTGGAGGTGGGCACTGGGGAGAAAGAGAGGATGTGCAAAAGACTGGAAGAGCCTGACGCGTCTGCGTACGCGTAAGTACGCGCATGGGATCTCGATGACAAATCGCCATACACGGAAAGAGCGGAGGGAGACCGCCCGGGCCGGCCGAGGGGCGGGGTGGCCGGGATGACGTCGTGGTGGGCGACGTGTCGTCTGGTACGCGTTCCGGCGTTTCCTGTCAAGTGCGGTGCGGTGGTGCGCAGTGCGCGCCGCTAAAAGCACTCCCTCCCCCGCTCACACCACGACCCCCTCGTCCTCAACAACGCCTTTGCTCTCCGACCAACTCATAAGCCTCTAGTTCAAGATGACCGTGTAGTGCGTATCAAATGCCTGCAGCTCGCGTGCTTGTTGCTCAAGTCGCGTGCATCACCGCTCGCCCTACTCAGCTATACCCTCACGTTTATGCTTCTCGCGTCCGAGATGGTCACATTCTGTGTCCTTGTCGCGCCTCTACCTCATATAATTCGCAAGAAGCTCTTCCACTTCCTCTCGGAGAGTCCTATAGTCGCGAAACTCGCGTATGGTATAAAGATTGCATTCATGTGAGTAGCGTCACTCGACCTCTTGCCTCGACGCGTCATACTAATAGCTGCCCCAGATTTATTGCCATTCTCTTTGTGGATGCAGTACAACGCATGTGGAGAGTGACCGCTGAGGCTGATCTCGCCAAGTCGAGCGGCACTGGAGCGTCGGATGTCCGGGCAGAGACCAACATGGCCGCCCGCAAATTCTAGTGCGTCAGGCCACTTTCACGACTCGCCTCAAATGCTGAGCACCACTCCTGGACAGTGCGCAAAGGAACACATACCTGACGGGATTCTGTCTCTTCCTCTCTCTTGTCCTCACCCGTACCTTCTACATCCTGCTCGACCTCATTCACACTCAGGAGGAATACGCCAAGCTCAAGAACGAGGTGCGATACCGCCTCCCTTCCCTTTTTTTACTCATTGGCTCACCACATTCACAGACCAAGTCGCCGCAGGGCGACCAGGCCAAGCAGATTGCAGACCTGAAGACCAAGCTCGCCGCTGCTGAGGAGAAGGTCAAGGACTATGGTGAGTGCATCTAGCGCACTGACCACACGTGCGTCTCCTGACCTTATCGCAGATATCGTGAAGAAGCAGGCGTCTCAGAATGCTCAGGAATACGACAGACTTGCTACCGAGTACAACATGAAGACCGGGAGCGTGTCTGACAAGCGCAAGGATTAGGTTCTGAACACGTATCGCAAATGTGCTGGATAGCGTTACATTGCATCGTCTATCTATTGGACTCCGTCAATGACCCATTTGCCTGGACTACGTGTGCTATGTACTTTGGTAGCCTCACTATTCCACCCTCCGAATCTCATCGCTTTGTTGGAGTCCTGGTTTGGCCGAACTTGTGCAATAACTGCGAGTTGTTCGCATCAATCTTGCACCTTAGTGGGATGATGCTGGACAGAACTATTGCCAAGATGATTTCGCCACTTAGTATCCGTGGTCTCGAGAGCTTGACCAAACTCGAACGATGCGCGAAACATGCCGCGTGACCTAATGAGAGACGCTACTGGTGGTACCTATGTCCCCATAAAGAAAAGTTTCTTCGATCGAGTCTTGACAATTCCTGTCAAAGTGGGGTCTTCAGATCGAACGGCTGACACTCGTCTTACGCTGTCGCGCCCATCCGCCTCCCGACCCTCCACGACAAGTTTCAACGTTCCCCGCCTAATCCCAGGCTAAGGAAAAAATCGAGATGATTTAGAAGAAAAGATCTGAACCCTACCCGATTTGAACGGATGACCTTGAGGACGCCCGGAAGTGCCGTTGGAATACAGCAACCTCTGGAATCTCACGCGCTACCGCTGCGCCAAGGGTTCGTGATGGCATCTTCTCCGCAGAATTTATGACCAACACTTGGCCCAAGCGATCCTAGGAACAAGGCGAGGGACGGAGGTTGAGGTTTGATTCAACAATCTGGGTGTTAACAAGCGAAAGAAGACAAGTGATTATCGCCATGGCGCCGTGCATTGCAAAGACCCCCGAGGATTACTTATCTACGTAGCCTCTCAGCTGAAGCCTAAACACTGTGACAAGCATGCGGAGAGGGAGTTGAGGACGCGTAAGTGTACAGTTGCGTATTGAACCGAGGGACACTTCACAGACAGTCAGAGTTAGGGTTTACAGGTTCGCAATCAGTTCCCGACAACCACACGAGTCTCTAGTCCATCCCACTGCGGATGAGAGCTTCTGCTGCCTTTGACCGCGGACGGATGGAACAGTCAAACTTCTCCACGTACCTGCCGCACGCCAACTCAGAGTGAGTATGCTGAGACTCTCAGACGGGACGAGATCGCTCACGAGAAGAATCCGGGTGACTGCTTTGCTTCTACAGGAATTGGGCGCCCGGATGCGTCGCGGGCAGGGAGAATGTCGAAGACGTGGAGGACCGACGCGAGAGTGATGAAGAGGGAGTCGCTTGCAAAGTACTTCCCGGGACAGAATCTGGCGGGCGAGAAGGTCCGTCCAACTACACACAGTGCCAGTGGTGGACCTGCAATTCCGACACACCTTCGACCAAACCCGAACATGACATTCACGCCGTCTATCGCGTCCTGGTCGAGCTTGCCGCCACGGAGGTATCTCTCCGGACGGAAGACTTCAGGGTCAGGGTATACCTTCGGGTCGTGTAGCATGGACCTGTGCAAGACAGTACTCGTGAGCGGTCAATCTACACAAATACGATGGACACCGCGAACGTACCAGACATGTGGTACGACCACCGCGCCCTTCGGGATCCGCCAACCGCGATATTCATCCTCTTCCATGCAGCAATGAGGAAGCCCCAGGGGTTCGACGGTGTGCCAGCGTAAGGTCTCCTGGACCACTGCACTCACGTAGGGTAAGGATGGCCGGTCGGCGTGTTCCGGCAGTCTGTCCAGGCCCACAACAGTGTCCAGCTCTTCCTGTGCGCGCTTTTGCACTTGTGGAAACATGATCATCGCAGCGAAGAACGCGAGGAGGGTTGCAGATGACTGTTCCCATCTCTAGTCAGGTCCGCTCTCCTTGCACTCGTACCACGTACCGTATCCGTGCCGGCTGATCATGGATGGGTATTCAGCTCGATTGATGCGGCTGTTAAACACGCAGTACTGCCGTACATACCTATGAACGAGGTAGCAACAATGCCTTTAACAAGCTCCTCCTCTTGAAGGCGATAGTCTTCCGAAGGGAGTGTGCGTGTCTTGTCTAACAGCTCGCCGATCATGGATCGAGTCGCATCAGGACGATGCTGGGTAACAGAATAGGGTAAGCGCGTGACGCATCTGCGCTGTGCGACGCGGAACTCACCATCGCGGCCTTCGCTGCAGCGTATGGCGTTTCTGTGGCCTCCCTGCGCTGCTCCTTCCAGGAAGCGACTCTCCGCTGCCATCCTGCGCCGGGAAACCATGCGGGTACGTGCCGCAGCCATTGGAGAGATTCAACGAGGAACGGTGCCGGGGAAAAGATCCGCGCTATGCCCGAATTCGCGTTCGTCAAGAGGTCCACAAAGTGATGCGTCACCTCTTCGATAGGTAGACCATGGATCGAGGTGAGAATCATCGCCGCTATCGCGCTACTTGGGGTAAACAGCTCACGACACACTGGGCGCGATGACCATGATAGTGGTGTACTCACAGCCTCGCATGGCTGGTCAGATCGGCTGTTTCATGGAGGAGATGTCTGAGAAAGCGCCTTGCCTCGCGCTGTTGGGCCGCCCTGTACTTGAGAGCCGCGCTCGGTTGGAATTCGCGCCACATGACGCGTCGGACGCGTCGCCAAGTTTCACCGTATGGCATGAAAGCGAGATTGTTCTCCCATCCTGTCCTGCATGACTTGTTAACTCTTTGTTGACGTGCGCGGGTATGTTCAGCGCTATGCCGGACGTACATATGTGCGAGAACCGAGCGCGGTCTGTCAGAATATATGGCGGAACGCTTCTCCAGCAAGTCGCTCGCGGCCTCTCTTGAGCTCAGAACTATGATCGTGCGTCCTAGCGAGTGAAGCGCGAAGACATCACCTGTTGATGCAAGTGGTTGAGTATCTCGTGGGAAAACGCAGCGTGAACGCGCACCGTGTTGTGCAGCCATGTCCCGGTATATGAGCGACTCCCGCGCATCAGGGATGTCGAAGAAGTTCCCCACAATCGGAAGACCTCGCGGGCCGGGTGGTAAGGACTTACGCTTGGCCCGGGCTCGCATTGCGAGTAGGGCGCTGCACAAGATGATGGCAAACGTTATCAACGGGAGCATGGTAAGGGTACCGGGGATCTCAGACGGTCGGTATGGAGTGAACACTTGTAGTCGCGCGTGAGGACTCCGACAGTTCTGCCGTGCTACGTACTCGACATCCCGGAGATTGAGTTACCGTTGCAATCGTGAACCTGACGGCCGGAGTGAACTTTACCCTTGCTCGCTCAGAACCTCACCAATCACTGGCTATGCATGCTGCTTGGCATCTCACGGTAACTTGAGCCGCTCGGGGAATATGGTATGACACTCACCAGCGCCATGGTGAAGGTTCGAGGGTCCCGCCGCAATCGCACGCTATGGACTCACAATGCAGTATATGGTACCTACTTGGGGCAAGCTTGGCCGTAACGTACACTCAACAGAACCTTGCTCAGTTCACGGGTCACCAGACTCCGTGTCGGCACGAATGAGTGCCTCGGCGTGTTTCGAACGGGGACGGATGGAGTACGCAAACTCCTCCAAGTAACTACCGGGATTGTCAAACAACCGTCGGCGAGAAGGTGGAATTTGCTCACGATAGGAATCCAGATGTCATCTTCACTTCGACGGGAATCGGTTGTCCGTGCTCGTCCAGGGCATGCTCGATAGCGAACACGTGGAGTATCGACGCAATGCTGATGAACAGCGCATCATTCGCGAAGTGCCTGCCGGGGCAGATCCTGTACAAGGACGAGCAAAGCCTGTTCAGAACGTGAGGGGTCACAAGCTGGAGCGTTTCTTGCACCTTCTGTCAAACCCAAACGCAATGGTCTCGGGGTCGGGGACGTCCGGGTCGAGCGCGCCATTCTTCAGAAAACGATCGGGACAGAAGGCATCAGGCTCGGGGTACACTTCTGGGTCATGCAGCATCGCCCTGTGTGCCAAACGACCGTGTTGGTGAGCGATTGACGGGACGCTTCTGGGTGGCAGGCGACTTACCAAGCGTTCGGAACGATAACCGAGCCCTTAGGTATCCGCCAACCGCGGTACGCGTCCTCCTCCATGCAGCGATGGGAAACTCCCAAAGGAGCAACATTGTACCAGCGTAGAATTTCCTTGACCATCGCCTCGATGTATGGGAGTGCCGGACGATCGGCGTGTTCAGGGAGCCTGTCAGGCCCGATGACCACATCGAGCTCCTCTTGGGCACGCTTCTGCGCTCCTGGATGGAGGATCATGGCGCAGAAAAACGCAAAGACGGTCGCTGCAGACTGAAAATACGAATGTCAGATATTTCTGGGAATGCCTCTCAGGTTTATACATACCGTATCGACTCCAGCTAACGACGTAACGACACAATGTTTGTCAGTGGCCCTGGTCGGGTTCAATCACTCTGGGATGATCCGCACCTCCGAACGCGACCGCGGTGGTTTCCTTTACGATCTTCTCTTGTTCTACAGCCTCATCTCCTTCCAGCTGCGTAACTGTCTCATACAGCTCGCTCATCATGGAAGTCTTCGCGTCTTCACGCCCCTGCAGCGGTACAGTTAGTTCGGCGTGGGGCAGTCATTCATGCCACTTACCAACGCTGCCTTCGCGGCACAATACGGCTGATCTCGAATGGCGTCGGCTTGCGCCTGCCATTCTGGGAGCTTCTTCCGCCACCCCTGGCCCGGAAGCCAGGCTGGGAGGTATTGGAGCCATGGGAGAAACTCGACCAGATGCGCGCCGGGCGCAAACGTTTCATCGATCCCATCTTCAGAGTTATTCAGGATGTCGACGTAATGGTACGTCACGTCCTTAGGAGGAAGTCCATGGACTGCAGTAAGGATCGTCGTGGAGAACGACCTGCAAATGACGTGTTAGGTTTGTGGTACCGGGTAAACTATGACTACTCACAGCTTGATCTGTCGGTCAAGGTCCCTCTGGTCCTGAAGAATGCGCTTGAGAAAGCGACGTGCCTCCCGCTGCTGTACGGGCTGGTACTTCCCGACCGTGTTTGGCTGGAGATGCCGCCATAGAGGACGGCGGACATGTCGCCAGTCGTCGCCGTATCGCTTGAACGCAAGGTTCCAGACCCAGCCAGTCCTGCAACAGTGTAATCAGTTTGGCAGGACACGACGAGAGAGGCGATGTCCTGGGTAATACACACAGCTCGGCCAGTACGGACGCCGGACGATCTGAGTATATCGCAGAGCGTCTCTCGAGGAGGTCAGTGATGGCACGCAGTGAGCTCAGTATGATGATCGTTTGACCAAGGGCCTGCAGAGCGACGACGTCTCCTAAGGGGAACGTTCGCAAATTCAGAACACAATGCGAGAGTAGAACACGGGGTGCACACACCATGAGTAACCGACAAATCACGGTACGCTAGCCAAGTCTGCTCCGGCGGGATTGCGAGGGCATTCCCGATGAATGGCAAGCCGCGCGGTCCAGGAGGCAACCTGAGGCGGCCGCGACGTCCAATAATACGATACAATACCCATGCGAGAACGACCACCAAGATATCAGCGGAGCCGAGGGAGAGAAGTCCTAGCTGAGCCATCCAAGAGAGTCGACGCCTGTTTGAAAGTATGGAGGCGGCCGCGGGACCTGTGAGGCGATGGGAGGGGACGCTGCAGAGGGAGTCATAGTATATATACACAGTTTTGGAGGCATCACGCGTTCGG